GGGGCCAGGCCTGCCTCCCACGGACGATTTCCTCGGCGGCGCGTTCAGGTCGCCCGAGGGCCCCTCCTCGCCGGCCGTGGGTGTCCTACTGCAGCTCCTGCCATTCACACCTGCCGCAGGGAGCGAGCCCACGGGCTCTTTTATGTAATGCGAGGTGGGGAGTCTTCCTGCTGCCAGGTCGGGGGCACTGGCCCCTGAAGGGACTGGGCCCAGAGAGTTYCCGGAGTGGGGCGTCCAAGACCTACCTCCGCGCCCGGCCACCCGCGCGGGTCTCAGCTGGGTTTAAGCTCTTTCCCAGGAGTCCGGAATAATAGTAGCGGTGATAGTAATAGTGACTAGAGCCAAAATGTGTGTGCCAGTTACTCTTAGGTGGATAATCTCACTGCAGTCCTACATGGCAGGTCCTAGTGTCGTCCCTTTGGTGTAAAGGAGAAAACTGAGGTCCAGAGACCASATTGGTTGCTCGAGGCCACAGCCAGAGGGGGCAGGTGCAGGATTTGAATCCAGGTGGCCCYGCTTCACCCCCTTAACCTCTGAGTGAGTGGGCTGTCTGYCTCACTGGTGGCCTGCTTATCTCAGGAAGAGTGGCAGCCTGGGTCTGGGCTCTGAGACAGCCAGTGACTGAGCTTCTTTTGGGTCCATTTCAGATAGCCATCCGWGCTTGTTTCCTTGGCTTTGTGTTTGGCTGCGGTGTGCTACTAAGTTTTAGCCAGTCTTCCTGGAATCACTTTGGCTGGTAAGAAGTACTTGGGAATGATGGTGTTGAGGCAACGGTAGAGTACAGGGTCAGTAGTGGCCTTTCCTCAGTCATGTCTGGTCTCSACTGGCAGAAGGCTGTTTAGGGTTCTGTGGAAATGAAGCCTTCTGGCTTCCACCTAGATCCCCAGGTTTCAGACCTTGTAAACTTCACCCATTGGTTGATTCTGTTGCAGAAACAGGTACCCGCCACCCTCCCCAGAGCTGCCTTCACCCACACTTGCTACTATTGGGACAACATTGAGTAAGGCAACAGGCCCTTCCTGGATGAGGGGTAGGTCCTTGGTGAAGGGAAGGGGCAGGGCTCCAGCTGGACTTCCTAAGCCTTTTCCAGCTCCGGTGKCTGTTAGGTCACATCGAATGCATCCTATGGCCAGTGTTGTGTCTCCCCTACACTCTCAGTCCCTTGAGCCTTCTAGTCTCTGACCTGGATATGAACCCTAGCTTCAAGGTATGTGTGCTCACTGTCATTATTCCACTATTCTGAATACTTAGTGACAGCTGTCAATAATCCCAAAAGCCTGTCATTGGATTCCTTTCTCCTGAATCACAGTCTGGAGTACACAGTGGCTGCTCTTTCTTCTTGGATAGAATTCACACTTGAAAATATCTTTTGGCCAGAACTGAAGCAGATCACCTGGCTCAGCACCATGGGGCTGCTGATGGTGGTCTTTGGAGAGTGCCTGAGGAAGGCTGCCATGTTCACAGCTGGCTCCAACTTCAACCACGTGGTGCAGAATGAAAAGTCAGACACCCACACTCTGGTGACAAGCGGAGTATACGCATGGTTCCGGCACCCTTCCTACGTGGGGTGGTTTTACTGGAGTATTGGGACTCAGGTGATGCTGTGTAACCCCATCTGCGGTGTCGTTTATGCCCTGACAGTATGGCGATTCTTCCGTGACCGGACAGAGGAAGAAGAAATATCACTGATTCACTTCTTTGGAGAGGAGTACCTGGAGTATAAAAAGAGGGTGCCCACAGGTCTGCCTTTCATAAAGGGAGTCAAGGTGGAGCTATGATGGGCGGGGGCCTCGAGGGACCACGGGCCACTGGCCCCATGTAGCCCAGGACAAAACTGCTTTCATTGGCCCCTGAGGAATGAATTTTCTTAATTATTTTGTATGTCACTAATTACTGTTCTGGATGTCACCCCAAGACCAAATGGTCAGAAGGCCTTAGGACCAAAGGACCCCCTGGAGCAATCCGTTCTTTTGCTGAATCAAGGCAGGACATAGATTAATAATGAACAAGAAACAAACTACAGCAATATTCATCCGTGCCCCTTCTCAAGTGCCCTGGTGAGAATCCAGGCCACAGTCCAGTGCCCTGAGGCCAGAGTGTATTTGCTATTTGCGTTGTCCCAGGTCTCCCCAGGAGAGGCGGATGCTGCTGCTGCAGAGCTTCTGCTGCAGAAACAGTGGTGGGTGTGTCGCTGCTTATCAGCATTAAAAAATGTGTTGAAAACCTTTAATTTAACACAAACAACAGCACAGCTTTAACCTCTTTATTCTGTCCTTATGCATGAACATCTATATAATTCTAATGATACTTCCTTATATGACACTTTGGCTCTTCATACATTTAATCGTATTTACACAGCTATTTTTTATAAATAGCAGCATAAATTCAAAGGAGCTTACTTGGTATTTCTAGTTCTAGCTTTGATCTGGCAGCAAGTAGGCACAGCCCTCTCTGATTTGGCTGTGTAGCACTGTGTGACCTTGGGCACCCCAGGCCAAGGGACTGTGGGCCCTTGGGCTTTCCTGGAGTTTTGGTTCCTGCTCTCCTGCTATTGTGACAGGCAAGTCAAAGATGTG